GTGCTCCTCGCCTGGGCGTTTTGTGGGAGAGCTCCGCCTTCGCACCTGCACAAGGGTCGGGTCGGGAAGCTCGACCCGACCCCTCCGACGATCAAGTCAGTGGATGGTGAAGGGGGTTTCTTTAGCTAAGTTGTCTCCTCTTCCCCCTTTCTTCTCCCTCCCCCTTCCCGTTCAGGACGTGAGGGTATTTATAGGGAAGCTTACTGTTTCCTGATGTGCTTGCTTGCAGGGGGCAGGCTCGTATTTCTGGTAGCGTTCGACACTGGTGTTGGCGTGAAGGATTGGGCCTGAGCAGGGCGTTAATGCGCCTCGGCCGGCGTTCTAGTCCGTTTGACCAGGTGTTATCGGGTCGATCGAGGCGTGAGGCGTCATCTGGGGCAGCTGACGTCAGCTCGAGTCTTGTCGCCATTATTATCCTCATCATATTCCCCCCGGGAAAGAAGCTATGTGTCGGTCGTTGTAACGGGAGTCCGAGGCATGGCTTCAGCTTTCAGTATTTGTTCTTGCCGGGCGGCTGCTGGTCTGTTACCAGGGGCGCGGTCCGGATTTAGCAAATAAGGGAGGCTGGGCGTGCGGCGGTGGCCTCGGACAGCATGCAGCTTGAGGAGGACGTCTCAGGCGGGCAGGCCGTGCAGAGGAAGTGGTCTCGGGCGACATGTAGCCAAGGAGCACGTCTCAGGAGGGTAGGCTGCGTAGAGGCCTACTCGGGCAGCCGAGGTACATGCTCAGGCAGTCAGGCTGCGCATAGGCGTACTCGGGCAGTCAACAGCCGAGGTACTTGCTCAGGCAGGCCGGCTGTGCAGAGGCATACTCGGGCAGTCGAGGTACATGCTCAGGTGGTCAAGCTGCGCAGAGGCGTACTCGGGCAGTCGGCAGCCGAGGTACTTGCTTAGGCAGGCAGGCTGTGCAGAGGGGTATTCGGGCAGTCGGCAGCCGAGGTACTTGCTCAGGCAGGCAGGCTGCGTAGAGGCGTACTCGGGCGATATGCGGGCGAGGAGCACAGCCCAGGCGGGCTGCGGCCGAGGAGTATGGCTCAGGCTGGCAAGCCGCGTTGAGCCGAGGAGCACGACGCAGGCGGGCAAGCCGTGCAGGCGTGGTCTCGGGGAGCATGGAGCCGAGGAGCACGACGCAGGCGGGTAGGCCACGCAGGTGTGGCCTCGAGCAACATGCGGTCGAGGAGCACGATGCAGGTGGGCAGGCCACGCAGGTGTAGGGGTCTCGGGCAGCACACAGCCGAGGAGCACGGCGCAGGCGGGCTGGCCGCACAGGTGTGGTCTCGGGGAGCATGTAGCCGAGGAGCACGACGCAGGCGGGCAAGCCGCGCAGGTGTGGTCTCGGGCAACATGCGGCCGAGGAGCACGACGCAGGCGGGCAGGCCGCGCAGGTGTGGCCTCGGGCAACATGCAGCCGAGGAGCACGATGCAGGTGGGCAGGCCGCACAGGTGTAGGGGTCTCGGGCAGCACACAACCGAGGAGCACGGCGCAGGCGGGCTGCGACCGAGGGATATGGCTCAGGCGGGCAGGCCGCGTTGAGGTAGGGGACTCGGTCAGCATGTAGCCGAGGAGTACGGCACAGGCGGGCTGCGGCCGAGGGATATGGCTCGGGTGGGCAGGCCGCGCTGAGGTAGGGGTCTCGGTCAGCACGCAGCCGAGGAGCACGGCGCAAGCGGGCTACGGCCGAGGGATATGGCTCAGACAAGCAGGCTGCGCTGAGGTAGGGGTCTTGGGCAGCACTCAACCGAGGAGCACGGCGCAGGCGGGCTACGACCGAGGGATATGGCTCAAGTGGGCAGGCCGCGCTGAGGTCATGGCAGGGTGTTCATCTCGAGGTTCTCCAAGCAGGGGGTGTGCCCTCGGAGCTCCGATCGGGTGAGGCCTCACAACCGTAGGCTCGTCTGAGCCGATTGAGTGTTCCCTCGACATCCGGCCCTCCTTCTAGCACCAAACTGTTGGTGTGAACAACTTTAAGCCATGGCCTCGGGGCCGACGCGGCTCGGTTCGAGTCCGGATGACGGGGATCTTCCTTGGATGCTCCTCCCGACTGCTGGGGCGGCCGATTAGGGTGTTCCGATCAGGACGGGGTCGTCGTTTCCTCCGAGAAGGTGCTCCTCGCCTGGGCGTTTTGTAGGAGACCTCCGCCTTCACACCTGCACAAGGGTCGGGTCGGGAAGCTCGACCTGACCCCTCCGACGATCAATTCAGTGGATGGTGAAGGGGGTTTCTTTAACTAAGTTGTCTCCTCTTCCCCCCTTCTTCTCCCTCCCCCTTCTTGTTTAGGACGTGAGGGTATTTATAAAGAAGCTTACTGTTTCCTGATGTGCCTGCTTGCAGGGGATAGGCTCGTATTCCTGGTAGCGTCCGACACTGGTGTTGGCGTGAAGGACTGGGCTTGAGCAGGGCGTTAATGCGCCTCGGCCGGCGTTCTGGTCCGTTTGACCAGGTGCTGTCGGGTCGATCGAGGCGTGAGGCATCATCTGGGGCAACTGATGTCAACCCGAGTCTTGTCATTATTATCCTCATCAGATTCCATAGAATATGTGGTCCTATTTAATTAGGTAAGATATGTTATAGATAACGAAAAACTCTCCTAGTAACTTATCTTAGAATATCTGTTCTCAACTATAAATAGACAGAATCTTTATGGGCTAAAGGGCTAAAGTGGGGGTGATCTTAATGATTACAAATTTTATGCTAACATTAATTATACAAACATAAGAAAAGAAATCTATTTTTCGGTTGATGAACAAATAATTTTGGTTGATGAACAAATAATTAATTGTTCGAACCACTAAAGAGAGAGAGAGAGAGAGATGGGGGGTTGGTTTGAAATCAGCTCGCCGACGCTGGCGACTTTAAAGGTAGCGTCGTCCTCCTCGCCACGAGAAGCTGCGCCATCTTCTTAAGAGCGAAGTGGGTGCAGCTGGAAAAGGCAATCCAGCAGAGGACCTGGTAAATGAGAAGGAATGCCGGATGCAACGACGAAGACGGTGTCGAGGCCCCGTCGCCGCCGCTGCCGAGGTTCCAGCCCTTTCCGCCGTCGCCTCCGCGGCCGAAAGGAGGGTCGGAAGAGGAGCCGACGCCCTCGGGCCCGCGGCGGGTGCGGCGCCAGGTACGGTGGACGAGAGCGCGGGACGTGGCGGCGAAGCGAAAGGGGTCTGATCTGACGGCGGAGAGGGAGAGGGTGGCGGCGAAGAGGAGGGGCTTGGCGGATAAGCCGAGGCCGCAGGTGGCGGCCGCCGAGGACGTCTCCATGCGTGCGTCCGTTCCTCCTCCTGGCTATCAATGGGAGGTAGGCAGACGAGGAAGAAGCACAAATTAAATGAAACAAAGAACAAATGGAGGGGGTTTCATCGGCTCTTGTGTTTGTTGTCGTTTCATTTCGGTGCTGTGCGTGGCAAGGAAGAGAAAGGGGCGCACTGCACTGCACGGCACGGCATCGCCTTGCACGCAGCCGTGCCACGGGAGCGGGTCGGATATACGGGACACCCGCATTCATCCGACCCGTTTAAGTCGAATCATCCACTTACTCCGAGCAACTTAACCCATTCATGATCCATACTTGTCATACTTCGAGATTCGTGCATAAATTCGGTCACTGTCTTTAAGATTCGTGCCATTACCTCGCCTACGAGTGATAAATCGGCAAATGGTGAAAGAATGGATCTTAAATTACAGGCTACAGACATACCCGATAAATCCTTTCCTGATTCCATTTAAGTGGATTCTGCGAATCCGGATTTAAAAGATCCGACCCGGTAATATCCGTAGCTTGGAATCAAGAAAGACCAACTTTATTCTGATGCCGGCCTTACGTAAACTGCCTCTGAAACAACGTCGCCTCCATGCAGAGACAAAGCAGCCGAAGCCATGCAGTGCTATTTGGCCGGCGTTTTTGCTTTGACATGCGTCGAAGAGAGAGAGAGAGAGAGAGAGAGAGAGAGAGAGATCAGTCACCGAACGTTGGAGGTGAATGGGATCGACATGCACGTAGCGGAGAAGGGAAAGGGGCAGGCGGTGCGGTGCTCCTACTCCACGGCTCTCCGGAACTCTGGTACTCGTGGCACCACCACATACTCGGGCTTTACCGGTGCCCGGCCTCCTTGCCTACGGCGACACCGCCGCCCCTCCCTCCGTCGCCGCCTAGCCTTCCCCATCCCCCAAAAGACCACTCTCCTTCGACCCTGCGCATCTCATCTTGGTATTTCGGAGCAAATAAGAAGGTAAATAAACACTTTGGGATGATCACGAAAGCAATCTGGTCTTCTTCTGTGAGCCAAGATGCAAATTTTCCCTTTCGATGAGGAGATTATAGATCTCTTGCCAACTTGGTTGTAGTTTTCCGACACAGTTGGCTGTTTGCACACCAGGTGGTGTTTGTGCTCTGCGACGCTCTTGCGGCTTGGTACGTATGCATGCTGAGACCCCAGACAGAGGGAAGGCACCAGTGAGCCTAAGTGTTGCTTTTGTGCCTCGCAACCAGCCATTAAGCACGTAGAGAACAACAGGTCTCTTTTTGGGGATTACTTCTTTCGTATGCTCAGCTAAGAGTTCAAAGGACTGAGTCTAAATCGGAGACTTAAGAGATGATTGCATGAGGGAAGAGGCCTTCCTTTTATGGGTCATAGTTTAGGTATTAATTTGATGCATGCATCCGTAGACCATGCATATACGTCCTTTGATGCATGCATCCCAAAGCTGCGGCGACCGGAAAACTCGAGCGCAAGGTGCGCATGAATCGGTTCGACTCGCTGACGGCTGCTCACCGACGAGGAAACATAGAGCTTTGAAGGGGTAATAGTTATATATATATAACAAAACGACAAATGGGCGACCGGACCGAGGCTAAAAAGATCCGTCCATCTGTTCCCCGAATTCCCATCAAAGCTGAGACTCCCCCCTTACCATGTTCCTGCGGAGCAGCAGACGCAGGCCTCCCTTCCTCCTTATGTATCGCCCCCATTTGCCACCAGCAGCAGCAGCAGCACAGAGGGGAAGGGAAGAGAGGAAGAGGTCGAAGTTTGTGCGGTAGTAGCAGTAAAATGGCGGGTTTGAGCGTTCTTCTAGAAACCCAAAAGACCTTCCCAAAACACACCCGTGTCATAAGCAAGACTTCCTTCCTCAAGAACTCTACCTTCTCCTTCTCCTCTACATCTGTTTCTGCCCGTCGGAGCACTTTTCTGGAACACTGCTGCCTCTGCAGGGGAAAGCTTCAACAGGGCAAAGATATCTACATGTACAGGTCAGGAACAAACCAGGGAACGAGCATCTCTCTCTCTCTCTCTCTAAAGGGCTTTATGCAGCTTGCTTTTGGCTTAGTATATACTATTTCAGAGGAGACCGAGCCTTCTGCAGCGAGGAGTGCCGGTGCAGGCAGATCTTTATGGACGAGGAGAGCGGAACGAGGGACCGCTGCTCCCTCGCCGCAGCAGCAGCAGCAGCGGCGGTGGCGGAAGGGATGTACCCAGCGGAGCGCCGCCGGGGGAGGGCGGCCGCTTGCCGCTGGTTTTGCTGACGCGGGCAGCTGTCGGATTGTTTTGTTTGACGGAAACACCCTCCGTCGTTTTGTTCTTTTTTTATGGCGTCACGAAGGATAAGGCTATTTTGGTCTTTACGGTTTACGTCGTTTTATTTATAGTCCCGATATATATAATATATACACGTATGTGCGCCAGCCCACATATAATAGATATAATAAATATGAGGTATTTTGTAGGAACACATCATCGATTGATGAGTCACCTAATTCCGTAATTGACGCGTACATCATTATAACAATTATTATAAGAACCATTAAATTCTTATATTTTAAGAAAAGTGAACCATAAATTTCTTTTTACGATCGATTCACGATGAATTATTTAATTTTACGATTTTATCTTTTCAGGATAAGATGCAAAAAAATATAACTCTATAAATTAAGCATTTCAAAGATTAATATTAATTTATTTAAGAAATACAAAAAATAATATTTTATTTTAAAAAATGTAAGCAATACTCGATGACAAGAAATCCAAATAGGGTTATTATATACAATTTTACATTATTATCACCGAAATAACAACAGTGCTGCACTAAATATGACACAATAGTTGATCAAATATGCATTTGAGTGTCGAGGAAAGAAAACCAACACAATGAGAGGATCCGAAAGGAATCGCTTGCAGCTACAAGGAGAAAGTGCAGCCACCTAACATGGTGGAGAAGAAAAGAACATGAGTATCCTACATTGCTGTACATGAACAAAGCTCTTAGTGTTGTTTACACATGGTGTTTCCGGCTTGATAGACAAGCTTGGCTCTCCTGATCATTTAAAACAGAGAGTTAAATTAGTCGTAAGCTCTACCAAAGTACCAGAACTGCAACAGAGTTAGTGCAAGCTCCGGCGGATCCACACCCATTAGATCTCCCCCTTGGAGCCGAGTTAAACTTCGACAACCGATTGAAGACACGTCAAACTTTGCCTGTTTCTGACTGGAATTCACAATAACATATTAGAATCTTCAACAAGCAAAAGGAAACCCTTCAACTAACTTCACAGAATTATGCAAGTTTAGATCATGCATCCTCCAGAATTCAAGGAAAGAGACAGTGGAAGCAAATCAGTAATGAGAAACTGCAGTGGGAAAGGGGATACCTTCTTAGGTGCTGTTTTTAATGCATTGGAGCTGCCTGGAGTAGACATGAAATCATAGGGTTTCAATATCTCAAATGAACAGAATAGGTTTTTGTCTATGCTCAACAATGCACCTGCATTATCAAACTCTCCACAGTAGTTTGGTGCCGAAAATAAAGTAACCAATCGCCGATTTGCAAAAAATTCATAACCATCCTCAACTACCTAAGAGGAAATATACTGTTAGCAACATTTACAAGTACAAAGAAAAGGAAAGATGACAAAGTAAGCCAAAGCTCTACTGACTTGGTGACCGCGGCATATGAGATCAAGCTCATGCTGGTCCAAAAACTCTGCAAGCTTATCAGCGCCAAATGTAACCGAAACGCCGCGATCGCTCTCACCCCATCCTTGAATCTTAGGATCAGGATCGGACCAAAGCAAATCACAAAGAAGACCATAATCCGGTATTTCAGTGGGCCTTTTGATATCTCTGATTTGGTCCAAGCTATTCAACTCCGGTGAAAGGCCCCCATGCATACACAATATCTTTTTATCAATTAATGCTGCCATTGGTAAATAATTAAAACTATCACAGAATGTCTTCCAGAGACGAACGTTGAATCTCCTTTTACATTCGTCGTAAAATCCATAAACTCGGTTTATTTTTGCATCTTCATGATTTCCACGCAGTAGAAAGATTTTATCAGGGTACTTGACTTTATATGCCAGAAGCAAACATATCGTCTCCAAGCTTTGTTTGCCTCTATCCACATAATCCCCAAGAAATAAATAAGTAGAATGAGGAGGAAAGCCACCTTTTTCAAACAACTTCAGAAGGTCAAGATATTGTCCATGTATATCACCTGAAATAGATGTCAAAATTGGTATTTTGGTAGCTATTGGGAACAAGATTTTTTGCTTAGTTATGCCCAGTGGCCTGACCAAGAACTTCACATTTTGATCAATGAAAACTTTGAAGCATTCTGGAAATAAAGGGTTGAGATTGGTATCAATTCACAAAGGGAAAAACATCCTTTATTTGTTGATGCATTTTATACTGGTTTTGTTCTCCGTTTCAGTCTGCTGCAACTATGGCCGAGGCAGACTTTCTGGGTCAGTCCAAGCAATGAAATAAAACAAGAACCTTGAGCCAAGCAGACAACAATCACCTGATAGAGCAGCCATTGTAACTGAAATAGGTGATTTCATGTATCTTTTCTGCTAATATTATTTTTTGACTTATTATCCTTTTCTATTTTCTCAGTTGGAACACAATTCCTCAGATAAATAACTAATTGCAGTCGTTGTTTGGCATGGTGGTGTACAGAAAAACATGAAGTCCAAGGAATCCGATCAGATGTCTCTATCAGCCATATTATTTGTTTTATTAATAACAAATATTAGGATGTAATTGTTTATAATAGTGGATACTATTCCCAAGAATTCTAATTCAATTCAACTCAACTCAAATATATAATATGTGGATTTATGTAAATTTAGTCAGCTAGTCGCAAATTACAAGCAATGGTGCCACATCGACTCTGTCAAGCATAGCATCACAAAAGAGGTGAAGGACCATGTAGCGCTTTGGACAAAAGCAGGTGGGTGAAAGAGTGTTCATGGAAGTTGCCTATCCAGAATGGTAAAATATTAAGAAATAATTGAATGGAAAGCTATAACTCGTTGTTAATTACATGAGGTAAAATAGCTTGCAAGTGATCAATAGGTTGTTTTTTTTGCATCAATGAGATAAGAACATTATTTTAGCTCACCACTTGATGATCCTAAAATCTTCATTTGTCCTATGTTATGTGAACCCTACATCCTTCCAAAGTCTAGCATTGTAATTTGAGCATTATATAAAAAGAACTGCATTAAGAAGCTGACTCTATTTTAGTCACACAGCAAACTGGTCTAGTTAAATGCCATTTGACAATGATCATCTGCCTAAAAGCTATACATAACATAGTGTTAATATGATCTAAGTTTGATGTGGTATCTTGAAGCCAAGGGCTTTTTTTGGATCTTGCACTCGCTTATGCAAAGCAACAAAGTCGATGAATTCATCTATTCAAGTAATTCCCTCATCTAATCAGTCTCAAGTAGCAACCATAGAATACAAACTATCAAATTACCATAACAGAGACTTTGAATATGGTTTAACCCACCAAAGTGCATCCTTTCTAGGTCTGGAAATCTCAGCGTCATTGTCTCCTCTCCTGCATTTTCGAGATGGAGGGGGATCCACGTCCAGAATGATAGGAGGGCCTAAAACTCAACTCGACCACTCACTCCATGATCTCAGCCCCTCGGTAGGATTTGCCTCATAGCACTCTTCTACTCAGTGGAACACTTGGATCTGGAACAACTCTACATCTTGGACTTGTGCCGTATCGGTTCGCTTCAACTCCATGAGGCATCCCGCCTCGACCCACTTTGATACTCCCATAATCAACTACGCGTTGTCTACCTCAGCAAATTAGCAAGGCGACCAAATCTGACCTCATCAAATGGGGAAAAAGATGAAGACGACATTCTAACTTTCATTCCGTGGAAATTCCTCCACTGTTGACCTTGACCTTTCAGCAGCTTTGGATAGAAGAATAAATCACAGATAAATGAAATCTATACATTGATATTTGTGAAGCAAGATTTGTTGATCATGTTAATCACGAGAAAGTTGATACCGATTTCACGGGACATTTGCCGATATGTTTTCCTTAATGCTATTCGCAACATTATAAGGCCCCAAAAGCATTCTATTCGATAGTATTATTATGCGCCTAACTCGATGAAGATCAAAGCTATAAATCACAAGCCAGGAAATCGCGAATCTAAAGTAGCGACGTATCGAATGCGACCAATGTCAAGGATGAGATCGGGAATCCGACAACCAACCGCAAATCTTGATGGGGGCGTGGAGTTCGAGGAGGTTGGGCTGGGCGCGGAAGACGTGCTTGGCTTCGATGCAGAGCTGGCGGATCTCCGACTCCGAGAGCTGGACCTGGCGGCCGCCCTGCCTGCCTTCCAACAGCCGGTGGATCACGTCGTCAAGCACGGGCCCTTCCATGGCCCCCATCGAGCTCTTCGTCATCAACATCTTCCCCGCCTCCCGATCTCGATTCGCCTCTCTCCCTCACACGCACACTCTCTCAATCTGTCGATCTGTCGAGGAGGAGACGATCTTTTGATTTCTTTTCTTCGTTGTTTTATTTATATGAAGAAGAATTCAAAAGCGCGTCCATGCGAAATAGCCGTTGATTTCGGGAGATCGGGTGCGTCTCAGCGGTCCGATTAAGCGGGCGGTGGCCCCCGATTGCTGCAAAAATGGATTTCGAGTGATGGGTACCACTTCCACGCGCACATACCACGCGACAATCTTACGCGGAAGACGACAGTAAACACTTTTCTCATCCAACGACAAGGGAGCTGCCACATCAACGCACAGTGTTCCTCCGTGTGAGTGAGTGCTTTCGGGTCCGTTTTGGGGTCATGTCGGCTTTGAGTCAATTTTATCTTCCCGATTTATTTAATTGTTACTTGACGTAATCTATACATACACAACATATGCGTTAAAATTTGTGCAGCGCATGATCGCATCAGGGCCGAGATTAAGGCAGAAAGGTGTTCAAGAACATTAAATAGATGAACTACAATCATGCGACAACAAACACAGACATTTCTGAAGACGTTTTACATCCTGCACTTGTGATAACAATGCCTCATCTTGTTCTAATGATCGATCACATATATTGGATGTGTTTGCCGTTGCAGATCACAAACTTGTTATAGGGTCGATTACATAAATCATTTCCAGCTTCATACAGGATGAGATGTTTATCTCTTCTTATAGTTCCTAGCAAAATCTATACTATTCACAAACAGATGATTCCAACAAACAAGTCCATATTCCACTCGTTCTTGTGGGCAGTCAGAGATCTGTTGAGCAAGGTTCAACTGATGCCTCATAAGACTCCCTTAACCATAGAACAACGGGGGGCCATGAAACATGAAAGAAATCAAAGGCATTGACCAAATAGTTCAGTTTGGTAATAACAATTAACTTGACATTTCCGGATAGAATGATCCCTTTGTTTGGACGAAAGCCACTATTATTAACTTGGTTCTTGCACAAACCAAGTCTAAAGATTCTCAAGGAAAACAGGTGATGATGCTTTCACTCATCAAAGCAAACAGTACGAAACCCATCCATGTTGCTGCTCTGGTCAAATTGGGAAGGGATGCTTATGAGAACAGCTAATGGTGACTGCTCTCTTTGCCCCCTTCAGCTTCCTCTGCCTTCCGTGCAGCTGCTCGTATCTGACGCTGCTCCTCCTTGTAAACACGGTTTCTACGTCGGAACTGCACTACAAATTCACATTTCGTCAAATATAAGATCACAGACTTCTAGCTTGTTATCTTTTCAGAACATGCCATAGGTCAAAAGATGCATGTTTCTTAAGATTAAACATTCTAACCAAAAAAAAAAAGCTTATATGATACCTTAATCCACTTACATCTAGCATAAACATGAATTACATTAAAGGACATCTTGTAAACCTGTGAATCAGAGAGAACAGAGAAGGACAATCTAATGAAATATTTCCATCGTTAAAAACTCTGTTAAGTGTTCGGAAGCACAAACTAAATATAGCTTATTAACCTTTGCCCCAGCGTATCTCAAATTTCTGGTTAAGCAGAGCCTGTGATGGATGAACCAAATGGACATATTTATTTGACCAGGACATATGATAGCAAAGATTTCATTCATTTATGCAAGAAAACCAACACAATTATTGAGAGTTATTTTTTAATGTTAGCCTGCGAATCAGAGAGAATGGAGTGGGACAATCTAGTGAAATATTTATCCGCCGTCAACAACTCTGAAAAGTGTTCAGAAGCACAAACTAGATTATTTACCTCACCCACACATATCTCAAATTTCTGGTCAAGCAGTAAGCAATGAATGAACCATGTGCACATATTGATTTGACCGGGACTCGACAGCAAAGTGCTCATTCATTTTATGCAAGAAAACCAACACATGTCTTGAGAGTTATTCTTTAGCTATAAACCTGGAACAAGTGCTAAATCTAGGGTCTAGAAATCATGACCTCATTCATCGAAAATGCACCAATGCTTCGCAAAAAAGCAAAGGAATAACAAAAAAAACCACATGAAAGTCAAAGTCATGTTACATAATGGTGTACTTTCTGTTTACATGATGGTAAACGAAACACAAACATGAATGCAGAAATAGGTTATGTAGCGACACATTTTTAGCAACATTGCAGACTAAGAATCCTCATAAATTGCAAATAAGTTAGTGCAGATCAATGTATATCATAGGTTTCAAACCTGATGATTGCTTTATAAAATAACTTGGAGCAGTGAATCGAAGCTAACAATTGAAAATTCTTGCAATAATTGAAAAGGTACAATTAATGACCAAAAGAAAGGACATGTATCAAGCAAAAAAGAAGCAGGAGTGACAGTGATAGCATTAAATATTTTAAATAGTGAACATGGTGCGAAACTGCCCAAATTATTAATATATGGGGTGGTCTAGAACCACTCATAACCATAGAAATGACATCTTCAATCAAAAGAAAAATGGTACTATGGAGTATGGACAAGAAATAACTAAACAGGTCCTGACACTGTAGATGGAATCACAAACAAGGATTACCTCATAGCTCTTTCTAGTTCCGGCAACATAACAAAAAACAACAATAAACTCTAGTACAAAACCAAGAGAACTTCAAAATGCCGATAACTCCTTTATGCCCTAGTCATTTCACAGAAAAATTTGGAAGATCCAGAAAAAAAAAGTTCAAATGTATTTAAGTTTTTTTTTTCCTACCTATAATTTATTGAACCTTGAAGTAGAAAATAAATGAAGGGAAAGAACCAGACTTGCAGTGGCCATTCAAGTGTTCTATTCCTTTTCACCTTCACCAGAAGCAAGGCAGTGGGAACTCCTACAATCTTACAGCAATTTTCTTTTGGAAAACTGAATCTGATGAAATTGCTTGAAGATTCAGGCCTGCTGATGTACTTTTCTGAACTGAAAATATTATGGAACTTTGTGATTTTCTTACGTTAATACTCATCTTCCAGCAGATTACACCAGGTATAGTTCGTTGCATATTCAAAACAAGTCATTTCTCTTCCCAATGCGAAATAAACTGATATAAAGAGGTGCATAAAGATAAGCAATTACTGCAAGTTGCAACCTACGAGACCACATGTCGCTAAAGTCTAAAAAAATCAAGGCCAAGCGTTATGAGCCTGATATGAACAAAATAGATAACGTCTATACTGACCCATAAATTCTTAACTATTGGACTCCACTACCACTTCTCACTGGCAATATTTTTCACTTTCCCAGGCCACCCATCTCTAGTGACCAACTAGGGGAGGGGGGTGGCAGGGGAGAGCGACTGGAGGAACACCTTTTTCTAATTGAAACTGAAACTAGAGAATTTATCATACAATGAAATCTAGATTTGGCTTAGTTGTGTAATTGCAATCGTATGTTTACTAGCCTGGTTTGACAGATATACCAGTCAAATGCACAAGACATATTGTGAGATATTCTGCTTGGCCAAGCAGCACCTTCACCTACATGTGCTCCATGGAGAAGAGGTTAAAATTGATTGCTCAAGAAAAAAAAAATCCTCAAAAAACACATTTTTGTAAATCTTGAAGATAAATTTTTTTAACAGGCTAAAGAGTTTGTTAGTAATGTACTTTTTCTTCTATAATTTCTGAATGTTGCATATCTTTTCTTCCTTTCCTTCATTGCTCACAGATGTCTCTATCAATACAAGAGTCGAAGCATTTGAATTGTTTTTCCATTTGTATTCTTAATTCTTTATTTTTTGCTCACCATGAAATTCTTATTCTAACAAAAATACAAACGAGAAGTTGCTTTTGGTAAAGATAACTTAGTTTTAGGAGGTAACCATACCATTGTTCTGAGTGGTCAAGAATAAACTTCCTAAAATAGAAAATAATACATGAGAAGTGAACAATATGATTCTGCATTTATAAAATAAATTGCATGGATTTGCTAAATGTCACTAAGGCCCTAAATAACTCTCAGTTAGTTGGTCAAATTATATAACATATTGATTTACTAAAGGAAAATAAACATAATGCACAGATCAATGCCAAAAACAGAAGGTACATATTGTTTAGTTGCTAGACCTACATTGAAACATTGCTTTGCTCCAAACTTCTCGATCACCCTAAACTTCTTAATAACCTGTCTACAGACCTTCTCAAAACTTGAAGATCCATACCAAAGTGCATTAAGATGTGAAACTACATAAAAATTCTGAGGCATTTCATTTTTGCATTAATTCCACTTCATTTTCTTCCACTACTAACCTTTTGAGTTTTTTTTCTCAGATTGAACTGTTTGCTGATTCCTAGTCGCTAATACATTAATCATCAGTCTACCAAGTTTCCCATATCTAATAATTCCCGGAAGCCAATTCAATCAACTTTTGTTGGTTTCTAGGCCCTTAGTTTTGTTTTGTCATTTCTCTAGCAAATTTCCAGCCTCAATCTGTAGATATTTTCATAAAAATATATCTATAAATTCATTATAATTGAAGTTATAATGGGATAAATAAAAACTTAAAAACAAAAACATGAACAGAACGCCTCCTATCATGCCCAAGTAATTAAATACAAACTTACACAACAAGGATCCTTCGATTCCCAACACAAAAGAGGGGTCCACAAATAGATCCAAAAATAATTTTCTTATAGCTTCATATCTTAAATAATTACTCTCTAAACCACAAAACACCTAATCTAATATAACTCGCTGCGAGAAAGAGTGCCAAAGCTCGTTGGACTATCTTGTATTTTTGTTCACCAAAATCAAACAGACCCAATTAACACGAAAGGTCCTCCTGAAATCCACAAAAAATTCGTGAGCAACTTAGAAGTGAAATTGTTGTGAAGGAGCTTCATGAACTTCCTAATGCACTTCCGTTTATTCCTTAAAGGACGGATGATCACAAGGGGCTAGCCTTGCATAAGAGAACCGCAATCCTGAACTGACTGCCGATCCTGGTACAATTCAAAACTAAGCTAGCCTTGAATGAGAAAAGGATTTGCAATGAATCCAACGCTATCCTTCCACTCTGTCCTTAGAGATTGAACCCTTGTTCTCTATTCATCAATTGCGGATTATGCCCAAAACAGAAGTCCAAGTCCTGTTAGATCCGACAGTGAATGATGCAGCGTCGCATGAACGACTTAGCGACATAGGCACGGATTGGTAAGATCTTAAAGAAGAAGAAAAACGAGAGGAAGAGAGTGGAATTTGAGGGTGGGGATGGGATGACCTCTTTGGCGTGATGAAGGCACTCGAAGTAGTCCTCGCGGACGAGGGCGCAGTCTTTGGGCTCCCGGCAGCGGGACATGCACTCGCTGAAGTCGATCCAGAAGTCGTAGCATCGCCCCTTGTTCCCCGTTATCCCCCAGCCCGATGCCATCTCCTCTCCTTCTCCGCCGCTCTGCCGATTCTTCTCTTTCCCCTTGCGTTCTCCCCCAAATCTCCGCTTCGATCTGGACTCGGGCGACAAAAGAGAGAGGACTATAAGCGATTGTGGGAGTACGTCTCATCTCCGCCGTCCGATGGATAATTTGGGATGAGATATTAAGCGTCCGGGTTTTTGATCGGGTCAGGAATGGTCACGTCCAGCGATTCAACACTGACCGGCGATGCACCGATCCGACCCGATTAAATCAGATTGATTTTTTTCGATAAATGGAAAATATTGGTTTCGGCTCTGGTTTTAACCCGATCCAGAACCCGCTAACTTCGGTGTAACATGTTCCGCGGAGTACCATAAACTCGAAGTTATTGATCGATCTACCCAACCAAGCTAGCGGCCAAGATCAAGTCACGCGGTCGCGCAGCAAAAGATATATCTTATTCCACGAGATATCCTAACAAGGGCATGCATAAGAGCCGCCGCAGTGGGAACGCTTCCATCTCCATCTTTGCGAAAACCCTAACCGTCTGTGCGGCGGTGTCTGTAGCGAGAGCAGAGGAAACCACCATGAGTCGCGGGGGAAGCGCAGCGGCGGCGGCCAAGGGGGGGAAGAAGAAGGGCTCGACCTTCGTGATCGACTGCGCGAAGCCGGTGGAGGACAAGATCATGGACATCGCCTCGCTGGAGAAGTTCCTCCAGGAGCGGATCAAGGTCGCTGGCGGCAAGGCTGGCGCCCTTGGCGACGCCGTGACCGTCACCCGGGACAAGAGCAAGATCACCGTCACCTCGGAGGGCCCGTTCTCCAAGCGGTAACCTTCCTGCCCTGATCTCTTGATGTAGATAGATCTCTGAAGTATCTTCCTTTACTTTTCCTCCATTTCTTCGAAGGCTGAATCGACACATTTCGTTAGCGAATTTATCCTTGTTTATACATCATAATCTGTGGCGTCAATTTTATTTGTGCGGGGAGATGTCGTGTTTCCTTTTTCCTAGTAACCCATCTCAAGCGAAATGTGTGAACTGAGCCCTATTTCGTATGCTAGGTTATGTGCACTTGATTTTGTGGATTAAAATGGTGGATAATCGAAGCGAATTTTAGCTTCTGTGGCACTTTGGATTACAATTTCCATTAAAATTTGGTGTTTGGATATGTGAATTAGATGAATGAGTACCTTCAATATGGATGGAATGTTGTGGACTGCGGTAATCTCATGTTTGTGGCACCTTGTTTTGAGCTATTAATCATTCTTAAGTCGCTGTAAGCAATTTAGACTTCTATATATTGATGTATATGTTGATTTTTATGTTGTCTGCATATGGTTAGTATCTGCTTGATTGTAACATCTCCTACCGAGTACTATAATTCTCAGAGCACACATAGCCATGTTGTTCATAGTTTGAGTCAGCCACTTCAAGGATTGTAGTCTGAAGGTTTTGACTACTTGTTCGAACATTGCTTTTCTTGTTGTCATAAATGACGGCAGCATAATGTGTGCTCATATGGAGAACTAATTTACAATACATGCAATTTGTTGTGTTTGTCATTGCTACGGAGAACTAATTAACAATATATACATTTTGTTGTGGCCATCATTGTCGTCATTCTTTCTTCCAACAAGTCTACAACTGCAATTTCTTTTTTTTTTTTTCCTTTGACAACAATAGATCACCATCGACAACCCTTTCGTCACAAGGAATGTAATTGTTGTGTAGAGGAAACTGACATAATGCTTCTTTTCTTTTGGTTTAGGTACTTGAAGTACTTAACAAAGAAGTACTTAAAGAAACACAATGTGCGGGATTGGTTGCGAGTTATTGCTTCAAACAAAGATCGCACTGTCTACGAACTCAGATACTTCAACATTGCTGAGAACGAAGGCGAGGAGGAAGATTAATTTTGCTCATCAGAAGTTGAGGTTATTAGGAGGTTTTCTCTTAAATCTGGCACGTTATATTTTCCAAATTCCAAGTACTCGATCAACGAGTTTATATTAGTAATCGAACTGTGTGCTGCAAGTTTTACCTATGTGCTGTGGTTGTTTTCAGTGTTCTTATTGCACGAGTCCTCTCTTCTGTGACCTCTAACTGCAGTGTGTTTCTACAAAATCCTGTTAAAATTTATCTTGGAACCATATGCAACTTATCAAGCATCACTATTTCATGTCCATATCGCTTCATTTTCCTAGTTGCATCCTTGTGTTTTGTGTACTGAAAAGGTGCCATGGGGATTTATCCTGGCGTTTTGTAGGCTCCATCTGCTGGTGATAGATGCTGATGAGGAAAGTTACAATGCCATTGCTAACAAGGTTGTTAATTAATTAGTTCCATGTCTATCAAATAAGACTTTTTCCTTTGTCTTCCCACCTAAAGCATTTCTAATTGGTTTGATTGGCATCACTGAAGAACAAAAGTTCCCCCAATTTAGGGCAGCCACACAAGGTGGTAAATCCATCAGCCATAGGTTGCTTCTATGCTAGGATAAAGAAGGGACCATCCTCATCAATCTGATAGAGACTGATCCCGATCTCCACGCAAATGAATAATATTACAAAGATTTAAGTGGTGCCAATGAAATTTAATACCACTAAATGCTTTCTACATAATCTTAAAAGTCAAATAACAATTATTCTAGAATTATAAAGAAATAAAATCTCTCATGAACCTAAAAGTTTGGAAAATTACTCCTGAATTATATAGATAGATTGATAGATAGGTAGTCAAATTATGTATAAAAATGTGGTGGAATGCACTACTAACAAAGTCATGTTATTTAACATATTTTTACTTGGTGAAATTTGAAAGAAGAAATCAAGTCCAAAGACTTGTATAAAAAATAAGAACTTTGAGGGGCCAATATGCGAAATTACCTGTCATGTAGGACCCGCACAATCCTATCCAACGGGCGCGTGTGGGGACGATGCAATAGACTACTAGTATAAAATTAACGTGAGCGGCACACTCCTTCAAACCCGATCTTATCCTTAGCCGTCGTGGGACCGCCCTCCGTTACCGTCATGATCAAATCCAACGGCCGAAGGAAACCCACTTGGACGGATCGTCGTTGGTCCCGCGCCCGACGAGATGGAATCCCCGCCCTTCTTGGACCAGCCTATAAACACATACCCGCTCTCTTACCTTCCTCGGCTCCCCACTCGCAGTGGATAAAGCCGACGCCTTCAGGAAGCTTCAGTGGAGTGCAAACGTGACTCTTTACTCCATGGGGCTCCTCGACAAGCTCTGGGACGACACCCTCGCCGGCCCCCGCCCCGAGTCCGGGCTCGGCCGCCTCCGGAAGTACTCCTCCTTCGCCTTCCGCCCGTCCTCCTCCTCCCCTCTCACCGCCGCCGACAAAGGTACAGCGGAGCAGACCCTCTCTCTCTCTCTCTCCGTCTTCCTTTCTTGAGCTTGTAGTTTGGGAAGGCTTGCGGATCTGGCGTATGAAATCCATGGCAGATGAGGCGGCGACCGGTGGCCTGGGAAGGCCGTACGGCGACGAGGGTTCCGCGGAGGCGGCGGCGGCGCCGAGGGTAACGAGGAGCATCATGATAAAGAGGCCTGCCGGGTGGGCGTCGCCGGGGGGCGGGACGCCGCCGTCATCGCCGGCAGGCTCGACCCCGCCCGTCTCTCCCTTCTCCGGTACGATCTACGGCGTCAGTCGTTCGCCTACGTTCTCAGGGCAGGAGAAACCTCCGCAGGTTTCCTTTTCTTGTTGTGAGTGCTTGTGACGGTTGATTAGTTGGTGTGAACGAGCAGGAGCGAACCGTTTTAGGAGGAAGTCGATGTCGGACGCGCAGGCAAGGAAAGCGGACGCGGTCGCGGTGGAATCCACGAGCTCTTCCTGTCCTCCCTTCTAACTCTAACTCATGTTCGCCTGCTGCTGCTGCTGCTGCTGCTGCTTTAGAGAGACTGTTGCTTGGAGAGAAATCGCTGTTCGATGATCAAATAGCTCTATGTGGGTGGTTGTACGTTACAGAAGGAGGCGATGCTGTTTGTGTTACTCATCGAGGTGTTGTGTGTGTAGTTTGTGTCGAGAGAGAGAGAGAGAGAGGAGGAGAGATA